ATACAAAAGATCCTCCACCTGCGGACTTGCAATTGGTGCGTTCATTGTGTACCTAATCAGTCGTTACAGTGCACTTCTGCCCGAACTGCATCGCCTGAGTGCCCCGTTGAAGAAGTTGCTGAGCTGTCAAAGTTGTGGGCAATATCGTCGGCGTACTCGGAGTCGAAAAGTCGATGACCTGGGAGCAGCTCCAAATGGTGTCTGGTGAATGCAGTTTTCATGGCTTCGTCGATAGCAAAGTTAAAATGGGAAGGCGACAGCGGACAACCTTTAAGGCGGTTACAGTTTGCTATATATTTTCACCTTGTCGGACTACGCGCTCCTGTAACGTTTACATGTTAATCGGACGGATAGTTCCGAAGGGCACGTCGATGCACCGAATCGATGGCATCTTTGATGTCGAAGAACGCGACTGATGGGTCGTCAATAAGCATGGCGGTGCTCTAACAACTGACGTACTATGAAGATGCGGTCAATACAGCCCCGATTTCGACGAAAACCGGCTTGCTGTTCGTGGTTCTGACTTTCATCGCTGTGTGAGGCAAATAACTCAGAGGCACTAGAGATGGGACTGCTCCCTCAATGATTGCTGCATGCCTGACATGTGTTTCCTTTGAGAATGTGTATTTTAACGGAGCGGCTCTAGTCTGTTGGAACAGTCTTCTCGCACAGGTTCACTGGTAGATTGTGTATATCATTCCCAACAGCTGGTCCCTTGAAGAAGAGGTCTATGTGCTATTGCAGCCCGGTCTCACGTTCGACTTATACGCATGAAGACGGATCGAAGGGGATGAGTGATACGTTTCACACAATTATTTCTATTTCTTCGTTAGACCCGTATTCCCCAATACGGAGAGAGTAGACAGCAAACTTGAAGATAAACGTGTTGTTTGCTTAATGACGCGTGCATCGAATTCAGAAAGCGTAAACGGAAAACAAGCCAGTCAGTGCAGGAATAAAGTGCCCATCGATTTCGACCAATGTAAGAGTGTTGTCCGATCGATCACGTGTGTGCATGTGTGGTACTCTGAGTAACATTAGCACGGCTGCTGTAACCATCAGCTGGGGAGCCAGGTGGTCTAGTCGTCCCGGCTGAGTGAGTTACTTCCCAAATTGATCGAACCAATGCTCCAAACGTTTTGACAGGTTGTGAATATGTTGTCCAATCTTGTCGCATGTAGTTTCGTTAGCACCAGATCTCCCGCTGCTCGTTTCTGTTGTTTTTTCAATGGCATCAGGCAGTGAGACCACCAGGCTTCGCGGTCTCTCTTCGGTCCCTGAGATCTTTGCGAATTTTGTGTTCGCTCCCAGCCGGAGTTCTAGGGACTGCAAAGAGACGCAATGTCCAAGTTGGCAATCCGATTTACCACATGCGTGCTGCTAATAACACGTGGCAGTGGGCACTAGCTCAATTCGCATGGCAGCGCAGTTTGTTGTGCATTCAAAACACCTGGCTTCACTAGTTGGTGGATGTCTGTGCGCTCACTGCGTCGCCGCGGGTGTCTATTGAGGCGAACTCGAAGTTCGTCCCATACTACTGCGTGATCAGCATCCACACTCGTGCTCCAAACTGAGCGACCGTTTTGAACACAGCTTATTTAACGACAACTGATTGCGCTGTGATCATTTTGGGACAATGGTTAATTGTCGCCGTTCTGCAGGTGGTATGTGGGAAGTTAGAGCTGGCGAGAAATAGATGAGCAAGCGTTCCCCGTTATCAGTCCAGGTGTTGGCCGCCCAGGTGCAACTCATCAGTGGACAGCTTTCCAATTGGAGCGTTCAGATCACCAGCCAGCACTAGGATACCGGTACTTCTGCTATGGCGAAGGAGCTCGTTCTGTTGGTTATTCGTGTGGAGTGTACGTTTTTTGACAGTGGATTAATTCAACATCTGTATGGTATACATGCTCAACGGCTTCTATAAACTACCTTTACTTTAATTGCAAATCGGATTTCTTAAATATTTTATCAGTCATTATTGGAAACTTATACCTTTCTCCTTACATGTGTGACTCAGAGTTGACCCACTTGGAGCACTAAGTTTCTTCTGTGATGTTGCTTAAATTAGAGCTTTCCATCCGTAGTTTTGCCTTCAACTTGAATAGAAAGTATATAGCCTTACTGAGTACAATTGATTTGTAGATTTAGTGACGTTTCAGCTGGACACGATACCCCGTTGGACGCTGTGTTCACAAATAATCGCCGGTTGCTTTTCATTAAACGCAATTTATTTGAGCTGTTCAGACCACTGTATTATTGAAGTGTGTTCACTTCTACACAGCTGGTCTGTTTTTTCGCTTTTACTTGACGCTCATTCAAGGTTCTCAAACGGCCAAAGTGCTCCTTTGAAAATATCACAGTTCCCTGGACTATGACGGATTTTTCGATGTTTATCGACAAGGACTTGTCGTTCTTATGTGGTCATTTTGCAGGCTGCTTTGGCTTAAAGTGTCCTGCTGAAATGGCGAGTGGATTTTCATCATCACTGCCGAAGCGACTTCGAAGGATGAAAGCATGGGCTTACAATTGCAAGGTGGCTGCTCGTGTCATTAGTTTAACTGCATCATTTATATCGGCAATAAAAAGGTTGAACAAGTTATACGCAGAAGCGGTACTAGGCAACCACAACTGTCATTATGTTTATGCTCTTTTAAAACAGCTCTATCGTAGGAGTTCCTGCAGGCAGTGCGATTAAGTGGATGTGGACAAATTTACTTCTCGGTTTCGTTTTGTCTCACCATTCTCACACCCCTTGTTCTCCTTCATTAGCTCAATTCCAAATGAACCCTTCGATCAACGCAATTTTCACAAGGAACTCAAACAATTATAGCTAATAGTCCGGATACTCTCTCACCATTAGCTTTGAGTGTACTGGTTTACATTACTCTTAACAGATATCTTAAAGAAATGTCTCGTTATGAGTTTGAGCCTGGATATCAGGAGATCGGCCACTAAATCCCCAAAGCCCAAAATGTTTCTCAAAAGTATTGCCCAATTGCATGTAACTTGTACTTCTAAAAGTTTCCGAAAAGCTGTTAATTCTGCAGATTTGTTCAACCGCTTATGAGGACGATATCTACCAGTTTGCGTACATACCCCTGTGCACCACATTGGTTGCAGTAACATATTTTGTTCATTCTATATCCTCTGCATTAGATTATGGTGTAAATCTGTACGGCTTATTTTCCTTGATTATTCGAATGCTTTTGCATGCCTGGACAGGTCAGTGTTGCTAAACCTGCTATCCGAAACTGGAGTTCATCCGTTTGTGTAATCTGTTTCGTGACTATTTTATTGATCCTACTCACTTCACCAAGTTGAACGGTAAGAAATCCTCTGTCCTCCGTGCCATGTGTGGTGTTCTGCAGGTCTATCACCTTTTCTATTTTCTTTGCATGTTGAACATCTCCCTATAAAAACCACGTTTATAGGGTGTAAATATGCCGATGATGTTGTGCTGGGATATACGGCCCCCACTAACCAGGATTTTCATCACTTCAGCGTGGTTTGGAAGCTTTGGTGGAATAATCTTCATCCATATTTCTTACACTTATTGTATTTAAGTGCAGTGATGTAATATTTTCTTTTGTCCGTGGCGATAAGTTGCAGTCCCTCGTAGATTTCTCCTTCACCCTTGGTGTGAATGAAAATCCAATGCCCAACTCTTCCACCGTCAAGTATCTAGGCGTCCTTTTGTCCCATTACCTTTCTTGATCCGCGCATGTCTGTAAAAACTTTTCTAGAAGTCAGCAAACTTTTTATGCCCCCAGACTTAAGGTTCTTTCAGTACTTCGTACTTTATTATTCTGGTTTGTGATCTCCTGCATTATTTCCCATTGGTCATACTGCTCTCCTGTCATTTTCCCTGGACTGCTTCATCAAGACTGCATTTTATTGATGCGATCTACGAAGCACTTTTCTTGATACAGCAGCTTGTCTGGAGATTCTTTAGTCGATTTTATCGTTTCGAGACAGTTTGTTGCCTGCATGGCTTTTACTTCTAAGGTATTTACTGATCGATTTCATCCACTTCGTGATGATCTTTCCGAAACGGTCATTTTCTCTACTACTGACTTGAAATTCAGTAGTTTATCCTCCCGTGCGTCGTCATATCTTAATACTGTTTTGCCTTATCTCTCACGTTTGCTTGTCGACCCAGCGAAATTCACTAACATGCTGCGCGAGCGGTTGTTGGAATAATAGTTGTGCCTTTTCCCACTTTTCTCCGCAAGCATATACATTGACTGATGTTATTATCCAGGTGTCCGAAGTGGCGGTGCAAATGCTGAAAATGAACCCATTAGGATGCATAAAGCTTGTTCTGATTTGACTTGGAGCACGCAACTATGTACCAAGCAAAAAACCTAGTAGCGACGATGTGCTTTGCCTTTTAAAGAAGTATACGTCACTCACTAAAAGAATGAAAGAACGCATGCAAGTCAAGCTAAGGCAAAAATATGTGACATCTCTCACAGAATCAAGTAATGCTGACAGGGATCGGAGTGAGGAAAGTGATGTGTGCAGAATGAACAAACAGCCAAAAACGTGAACAATGGTCTCAGGTGAGATAATGAGATGAAGTTCCAAGAAGGAACGTGCTGGTCAGAGAAAAAGTTAAAAATAGATACCACAAAAATGGATATCGCTTACAGACAATCGAACGCCAAAAAGAGCGATCAGATGAAAAGTAATCGTTAATGGACGAGTGAAAACATAAATACACACAGCGCGGCAGGAACAGATCATACAAAATACTCAAATGGAGGAAATCTGGATAAAATGAAAAATAAAGAATAGTGTGTTCGATGAATCCGAAATGCGGCGCAGGGATTATCACATAAGAAATTAATCTGAATATTCGCCGTAGCTTTGGTATTAAGTCTCAAATCATCCAAGGAAACGTACCGACGCTGCGCTGGTGTGATTGTTAATAGATGTCGGGTGTCGTGTTAAAGGCAATCAATAAAATGAGTTATGAAGCGGTGGAAACAGGAACGCCTTTAAGGGGTCAACAGTGAGAAATCGGGGGTACTGGAAGAAGAAGTGCTAATCGTCCACACAATGTGCTCCGCAATACAATCCCCACGCTCTGCTTCAGCGTGATAGACGATGAGTAGGCATTTAGCCCATCGGCGAGGAGTGATACGTCTGTAGAAGGAGACACGTAGACCGTCGGGAGGCCGAGCCGCACCTGTCAGCCAATCGGCTGCCCAACATTCGCTTAGTAAGGGCACAAGGCGGTTCATTAAAGATTCGCTAATCTCATCGATTGGGTACCGCTGGAGTTCATCTAAGAGTTGTCTATCAAAAACACTGAGCTGAATGGGGAATAAGAAAGAGGTGATATAACCGGTACCGAAGGAAGACGCAGTAAGCGGGACAAATTGCCGAATATATTCTGAACGGCATAAGGAACAATGGACAGTAACTCATACATCACGAACTTCCGGGGGGTTGCAATAAAATCGGATCGTCTAACATTCATAGCTTGTGTATAGCGTGGACCATCAAGTCAAAATTGAGAAAATTTCTATAAAATTATTTGGAGGGGGGCAAAAGTGCCGACTGGCGATGCAGTAGATCCCAATATCGAGAAGGGAGAATTGGTACAGTCAGTGGCACAATATACACACACTAGTGCATCAGCTTCAGAAGGACAGATGATCTAGGTCTCCTTGGTCAGGCGTCATTTCGAATAAACACGCTCCCGAGATACGGTACAGACCGCGCTTCTGGATTAGATCTACGCAGATCGTAACATCCGATCTGAGAGTAAATACCATGGAGCACTTAAAAAAGCATTGGTCGCTAGTAAATGGACGAAAATGAAACAAGGAAGAAATTGAAGATGAGCAAGAAACTCCAGGCAACCTATAAGAGACACAAATATCACAGCCAGTGGTGACGATGTGGTCAAAGGAGAGAAATCAGCGAATGGCACAAATTAGAGAGGTCTGAAGAGATCATCGATAATAGTCACCTATGCGTGAAATGGCCCCTATGCATCCATCGGTGGATACATTGGATGTGACCCAAAAAGTAGGAGGAAGCGATCATAAGCGCAAACATTAAGTGGTCCGATCGCTTCGGAAACCGCAGTGTACCAGTAGTGAATTAGTGTCAGAGAATGCAGCTTTAGCTGCGAATGACGAGGACCCTGGCAACTCAGAGAATGATGGTGAGTTTCGAAAGATGCATCACGATTGACTCGAGAGCTCCGTCGCATCAGGAAAGCATAGTTGGCAGAGTATGTAAAGTACATAGAATGTCACGCCAAGATAGAGTTCTATGACTCCTTGAAAGCAGTGCATATAACTATATTGTAGCCGATGAGAATGCTGGTAGATGCTACTTCGGGTGCTGCCTGGACACATACCACTGAGATTATGCATATGTGGTGAAAGCATTTCGATTGCCTTTTGAACAACCAATCAGAAAGCGTATGAGATGCATTGCACGGACCGCAAACAACGAACTATAAGAGAGGTTCTTGCCAATACCATGGTTCTGTATGAAAAGCAGACAGCACTAACTGTTTCGAAACAGAAAGTGCGCCGAAACAGATGGGATACCACCAGAGGTACTGAAAAACGGTAAACCAGGGATTCCACACGCGTTGCACTCCTAGATGGAACGAGTGTGGCTTAAAATACATGTGCCAGCTGTCTTGAAGGATGCCCTTGTGTCATCACTCTACAAGGGCAAAGGAAGCAAACCATGAATTATCATGGCATCAACTTCATGGGTTGTGTTGGGAAATTGATTGCACGAATACTGCTTAACCGCCTACTCACAGGTCATTGGAACGAACGTGGCGGAAGATTGATGCGGATTCCATTCGGGTCGCAGCGCCATAGATATGGTATTTGTAGCTCGTCAATTGCAGGAGAAATGCTGAGAGCGACACTGGCCGTAATACTCGCTGTTTGTTGATATTACCAGGGCATTGGACAAGCTAAGCCGTGAGGCAATGTGGCTGGTTTTGGAAAGGTTTGGTTGCCCGAGTAAGTCTGTCAGTCTTATTGAATGCCTACTCAGTGGTATGCGCACGAGGGTGCAGTTTTGTGGACAAACCTCGAATAACGATGTTGTCTATGGTGCGAAGCAAGCCTATATCTTAACCCCCTGCGCTGTTTACTATTTGCCTTCACTCAATAATATATTGTGCCTTTGATGCTGCTTGTGATTACGGTGTTCGTTTGGGGCACCGTGCTGATGGTGGGCTATTGAACATGTGTCGTTTCAGAGCGAGAATCCGAGTGTGTGAGACAACCATCCATAAGTTGATGTTTGCGGACGATTGCACGTTGTTTGCACATAGCACGGGTGAGTTGCACCGCACGACGACGGCTCTCAAATCGACAACGGCCAAAATCGTGCTCACCTTCAACACAAACAAAACTGTTTGTCTTTTCCAGCTTTCATCAGAAACGGAATCCATTGGCTTACCGTAAATCCGGATTAGTGTTTGAAGTTTAGACACCACATCGATATTTTGCTACCTCAGAACGTACTTCATACTGACCTACAGATGGTGGACGAGCTGCGCATGCGCCTATCGAGGGCGCCTGCCGCACTTGCAAGACTGGAATTTCGAGTGCGGAAGAATCAACACCTGACCGTTTGGACGAAACTGGTGCGATACAAGTCGATGATTTTGTCAGTTCTTGTCTACGGCATAAAAATTTGGACGCTGTGTCAGATGGACATTCGATATTAGGATCGATTTCAACAAGAGTGCTTGCATCGGCTTCTGCGTATTTGATGGTGTGATGGAGTCTGAGACACGGAAGTGCTGCGCCGCAGTGGCATGTTTGCAGTGGACTGCATACTTCTGCTGAGTCACACGTAGCAGGGACATATTCGACGTATGGACTCTAGGAGGATACCGAAACAACTGCTGTATGACCAACAGCGCACAGGGAGGCGACAGGTTGGAAAATCGAAGTTACGTTACTAGGTCATCATCAAGGTGAGTATATCACGAACTAATGTTGACTATGGGTGTTTGGGATCAAATGCAGTGGATCGTCACCAATGGCGTGGGCACATCAAGAGTGCGGTTGCCCGGGTGCACGAGAAACATGTTTTGTGCGGAAGCAGAACCCAGTCTGCGGAGGCGACAAGTGCCGAGCGCATGGTGCTGTAGCATATGCGGTCGCGATTGCCTCAGCCAGGCCGGTCTCATAAGCCACCAGCGTCGCCACGTAAGACCAATACCGAAGAGACAAAGAGTAAATTGAATAGGTAAGCATAGTCAGCGCAGCGCTTGTTAAGTACGCTGCTTCCGATTCCATTTACTATTTCAGGCTAATAAAGCAGTCGATATGACAAGTATGTTACATTATTGCTTCAGTTCATCTATACGTATGCATGCATGTTTTCTCTCTTTACTTTCAAATGTTTGTTGGTTGATACCTCCGGTATGGATGCTCTTGATGTCAGTATTGATAACGTGCCTACATGTCGAAATACCACCACCTCGATTCAAAGGCTCAGGAGACAGTTGGTCGCTGCTGGGAGAGACAGAGTACACGGTCTTGGTGACCATGCTAGGCTCCAAGACTGGCCCAATACATCCAGTGTGGAACGGCCTACAACCAAACCACCGCCTTGCGTAAGTCGGGCACGCATGAATCATAAAATAGACCAATGGAAGGTTGCTGTGCGTGTTGAAGGAGTGTGGGCCGGGTCGGTTGACAAAACGTGGCTCCTATCCACATGCCTCCCGGTCTTATTCCTTCGGGTTTACACTGCATATGGGGGGGGGGTGGATGAAGCTGTGGGTGATGCAGTGCGAGACACCCATGGTCCCTCTGTAGGCGCAGGCGTCCCGTGGCTATCCTACAGACACCGTAATTACAAGCAAATCCGAAACCGGATGCCACCAACCATGTATATATGTATATATATGTCACCAGTGCCCCATGCTGAGGCTGATGTTGCATTCTTTATGCTTCTTCACCGCAGTTGGGCTAAACCAACTTACACTTAAACTAGGTCTTTTTAAGCTGGCTAAATTTCATTCCACTTTATTTGGTTTGTTCTGCCTACCTGAATACTCTTCTATTAACTGGCCACGTTTCTTACATTAATTGCGCTTATCTTCGGTAACTTTGTCGCGTTTTGTAGCACTTTTAACTAACTTGTGGACATTTTTTCCTTATCGAGGATTTGTTGCTAACCAACTTACTTCATATGCTTATTTAGCTTAGAGTTATGCCACCGTATCTGTATGCATGATTGTATTTGTTTTATTTCATCTTGTCGTTCCAGGTGACTGGCTGTTGCTTGATGTCCCCGGTATGGCTGCGCTTGATGTGTCTGTTGACAAGGTGCCTACCTGTCTATTACCCACTACCTCGTCCATACTGGCTCCAGGAGACAGTTGGTCGTTGCTGGAGGGGACGGGGTGCACGGTCCTTGTGGCCGTGCTAGGCTCGAAGATTGGTTCCATGCACTCAGTGTGGAGCGGACTACGGTCCAGTCACCGCCTTGTGTGCGCTTGATTTCCCAACTACAGCGTGCTTGTGTTTGCCTGTGAAGGAGTGTGGGCCGGCTCCGTTGATGAAACGTGGCTCCCATCCACATGCCTCCCTTCGGGTTTACACCGGATATGGGATGTGTTGCAGCGCAAGCCATCCATGGTCCCTCTGTAGGCGCAGACGTCCTGTGTCCGGCCACAGTGACAGGCAAATCGGAAACCGGATGCCGCCAACCATATATGTCACCAGGTGTTTCGTGAATCTCTGAAAGTTCTTAACTGATTGCCTTGAAATTTTGACTCAATGTTGCATTCGAATATTATCAGCTTTCTATATGTGTTTTATTGTATAAATGTCATTTTTTGTATAACATTTTAAGGTTTCTAGTGACGACGATTTATTTGGTACTTTGCACTACTTATCGGTAGATGGATAGTCTCAGATATTTTCAGTTGACTATCTCGTGTGACAGCGTTAAAGTTGAACTGTGACGACAACATGGAGTTAAAGCGGTTATTGTTTAGCGTTTTCATTGTTTTTTTATTTTGTTTTTTAACGCTCGTTCTTACTTTTTATTGTAGCAGGCGGGGGAATTGCGCAGTAGTTTGAGCTAGTTTTAGTCAAATATTTCCTGGTAATTTGAATGTTTGGTTTCGTTTTTTAGTTCGCGCTGTTCCATATTTTTTGTCTTATAATCCGGTATGCTGTTGACATAGCATTTTTTCTTTTTCAGTGCTATCAATCCGCCTTAGTTCACCTAAGTAAGGTCTCGCAGAAGTGTAAGCTTATTCCGTCGTTCTCCCGCGTCCTAACAATGCGACGAGAACTAGCAA